TATGTTGTAAGAACTTCTATACCTCCTGTGGTCAAGGACATAAACTCTTTTGACCCATTGGAGTTCTGACCTCAGAAAGCTGGAGTGGGTTCACAGACTGAAAATAACAGAGGAGCACAGCAGGTGATTTCACTTCTTCCTTGCCACCTCCAGGAAACCAAGCAGTCTCCTCCAGCTGTGGAGCAGAATGGGTCTGACTAATTTCCCCCATCCTCACCCTACTCATTTTGAATGACAATTAAATAGACATTCCCTGTGAACAATTCTAGTAATCTGCAGGTTCAGTCAGCAGAGGAAACTTTAAGAACAGCAACATGCAGGTGGGTCAGACTAAGTCAGGGATTTTGAATGTGAAAATAATAAGGAAAATACAGATATGTAGCCCCACCCTTTAAAAATGAATCACAGGGGACATCTTTGCTGTAATCAGAGATGTGACAACAGCACATGTAGCTTTGCTTTTGCTCACTGTAATGATAAGAACAGTGCTCCTGCTGCAGTCCTGGCTAACTGCTCAGGAACGTACCTAGATCCAGGGGTGGGGTATTCTGTGCTGCCTATTAGAGGTAGCCAAAGCCAAGCTATGTATACTGCTGTCACACCTGGTCTGGGTTAAAATTTCCCCAAAGTTTGGGGTTATCAGATTTTGGGTTTTGGTTCAGGTATTGCTTAGTATTGACAGAACAAATCTGAATATGGCAATGAAGAAACAGAGTGGGATATTGAGTCCTGGAAAGATTCCACTTGTCTTATTTAGAAAGGATTGGTTTAAGAATTTTTGAAAGTTCCTCTCTTTTTTAGCTGTATCTGCCTATGGGGAAGGGTACAATTTTTTTACCGGACTACTGAGTTCTTTTATAGTGTTTTACCACCTCCAGAGCCTTAAACAATTTAGGGGTAGTTCAGCTCTTCTCTCATCCCATTTGTTTACCTTGACTGGAGCCCATCAATTGATGGAAGCCAGATTTCATTTTGAGATGGTTATGGAACAGAAAAGACATGAAATAAAATAAGAGTTTTAGATAGAAATATAGATAAAAGATATTAATTGCATTGGAGTAGTAGAAGGCTGATTGTGTCTCTTTTCTCTCGATGAGAAACCACCCAGATTTGGAATTTGCAAAACCTCACTCAGATTTTGATCTTGTAAAATCCTATTATGACTGATTCAGATCTGGATTATAGTGTGTCTCATTTTATGGAGTCAGATTATTTAAAAAAAAAGCTTCTACTCATAATCCATCTCTAGACTAAACTCAAAAGTGTGGTGGGGAGGGAGAAATTTTCATAATTGCTCACCAATCAACAGCTCCCATTTAGGAATCAAAATAATTAGACAGATTTTCCAGAGCAATTTAAGGACTGGGTACTGAGAATTCTGAAAATATGCCCCTTCATTCTGGTGCTTAAGTGGGAACAGCTGGCCTCAGTTATGAACTTAGACCAGTTCTGAAATCTGCCTTGGATATTTATTTATTTCTACTGGCATGAAATAAATTTCTGTGCATAGGATTTGCACTGCTTTTTACATGGTAAGTCAGCCTTCAATCTTCCTTTGTTCAAATATAATGTGCCACATTCTTGCTGGGTGTAAATCCCTTTGGTATCAGTGAAGTTACTATTCAGTGATACTAGAGAAATGTATTCAATGATATGAGGCAGACCTGGCAGGAGAGGTAATATCTTTTATTGGGGGAACTTGTGCTGGTGAATGACAAAGGCTTATAAAAAGGAGAGTGATACATTAATCTACTTAACCACTGAGGATGGGGCAAAAAGCAATGGGTTTAAATTGCAATCTGGGATATTCAGATTAAATATGAGGAGAAAACTTCCTAACTGTAAAGATATTTAAGCACTAGAACAAATCACCTAGGGAGCTTTTAAAATCTCTGTCATTGGAAGTTTTAAAGAACATGTTAAACAAACACCTGACAGGGATGATCTAGATAATATTTAGTCCTGCCTCAGTGCAGAGAGCTGGACTAGACAATCTATTGAGGTCCCTTCCAGTCCTATATTTCTATGATTCTATTAAACTCTTTCCTAACATTACTTTTCTCGTGTGAAGTTGCTGCATGACCCACATGGATGTTATTTACCAATAGGAATGGAGTTAGTTTGCAGCCTCACACAGGAAGGGGAGGTGTGTCTGAGACAATTTTTCTAGTGCAGATATAGCTCACAATTCAAGAATGCAACATTTCCCCATTCTGTGAAGATTCTACATGGTGCTTTTCTTCCATTCTGGTTTGGGCCAGATATTACCAAGATATTAGCTGACCTGCCTTGTCTCTCTGGGTACGTCTAGACAGAGGGGCTATTTTGGGATACCAGAGATATCCCAAAATAGTTACCCTGCGTCTTTTAAACACACCTATTATTACAAAATAATGGGCGTGCTATTCTGGCATCCCTGTAACTTTTGTTCCATGATATACATGTAACTTTCATTCCATGAAATACCATGTTATTTCAAAATTTGGTGCTATATAGATGTGCTAAATTTCAAAATAAGCTATTTTGAAATACAATCGACATAAGATACGCAATTTGTGTAGCTCAAATTGTGTATCTTATTTCAAGTTCAGGGTGCTGTGTAGATGCACCCTCTAATAACCTGGGTTCAAACTGGCTACATCAGTGCTGCCAACACTATTTCAGCTACTAAATGGTGTCCTCTATAGCCATGTTGCAGTATACATCACTACACTAACTTATAGAGAACATCAAGATTTTCGTGGTTCTAGCCTGCTGAAGAATGTACATATTTAGAGCCTTTTTTTTAACCTTATTGGCTGCTAATTTTGTTGTAAGACAAAATTACAACAACTGTGTTTTATAATAGTTTTTTTCATAGTTTTTTCAAAGAGGTAAAAGAACACAGCAAACACTAAAATGCTTCCTCAAGCGCCATGAAAAATAGGAGGGCTTATCCACCAACCTTTAGAAATGGTTACAAGAAAAAGGAGCGAAATCAAATGTTTCTAGGCAATGTATTCCACAGTAAGGGGGCATAATGAGAGAAAGTATGACCGCCTACTGCTTAATAGCAGACTTTCAAGACATCAAAAATGGTTCAAATTAGGGAATCTGTGTACTTGTCCTAGGGTATCAAGCGAATCAATGAAAAAACAGTGTTTAAACCATGGAAAATGTTGCTTTGTGTATGAACAGCAGTATTTCTGTACAAGCCTATAGGAACGTTTAAGTGCATAGCTGCAATTATTATAGTATGTGGGAAGATAATTAGAAAATGATAAGGCAGGTGTCCATAATGGTACTATTGAGCATAGCTGTGAGTGATGGCACAGCCAGCCATGAGCCTCATACTGCTATTTGCACATCATATGTATTAATTGATATGCAGATTACTTACAAAAGAGTTAGGTTCTGTTTAATCTGAACTCCTGCATGGTTGTTACATTGAATTATACCTGTCCAGTTACTCACATGAACAGACTTGTATTTAGGATTAAATAGTAAAGTCCTATGTCTCAAATGCATAGGGCTCTTGTGAGCTGGAGAGGGGGCTAAAGGAGGAATGTGACCTAAGTGAGGGGTGAGAAAATAGATGTTAGGGGTCCTTGAATGTATTGTACCTTTGCAGGACATGAGCAAAGATACTTCCATGAGGGTACTGCAGAATGAATCATGCTTAACAATGAGATATGCCACCCCTGTTATGCAGCTGTAGCCTCCCCTTCTTCCAGTGCTGATTTTCAGCCTGCAGCATGCATGTGGCAGGGTGGTGGCCTAGTCATGCTGTCAAACTTTTCAAGATGTTTTTCTTAGGCCACATGTACACGAGGGGGGCAAAGTCGAACTAAGGCACACAATGGTAGGTACATGAATATCATCACTGGGGACGATGTATATTACTGCAGTGCCTCAACCGGGGGGAGAGAGGGGTGTCGATGGGAGAGTTGCTTCCTTCAATTACCCTAACTCTTAGTGACCTGGTGGAGTATCGGAATTGACATGAGTGTGATCAGTGGTTGATGTAGCATGTCCTTTCTAGATCCGCTAAATCAACCCCAGGAGTTTGATCTCTGCAGCATTGACCTCCCGGTAAGTGAAAATGGGGCCTTTGTCACGAAGGCTATGTCTAGACAGTGGCGCTGTTTTGGGATAGTGGACGTATCCCAAAAGAGCAAATCCACATTTTTAAACAAACTCATTATTTTGATGTGTAGACAGCACCAAATTTCAAAATAAGCTATTTAGAAATTACCTAGAAATAAACTATGCAATGTGCATAGCCCAAATTGTGTAGCTTATTTTGAGGTAAGGGTGCAGTGTAGACGCACCTCCTAGAGAATTTGAGCTTCTGATAAACAAAAGAACAGGTTACAGGCCCATTGAATCTTCAGCAATGATGTAAATGCCTCAGAGTATATCTACACTACCACCCTAGTTCGAACTAGGGTGGTTAATGTAGGCAACCGAAGTTGCAAATGAAGCCCGGGATTTAAATATCCAGGGCTTCATTTGTGTACCAGTAATTCGTATTAGAGAGCCTAATCCGAACTACCTACTCCTTGCCGTGTGTAGCCGCGGGCATGGAGTCAGAACGACCGGGGTTTTAAAAATGGCGGCGCCCGGCAAGATGCAAATTTAGCCCGGGATATTTAAATCCCGGGCTTCATTTGCAACTTCAGTTGCCTACATTAACCACCCTAGTTCGAACTAGGGTGGTAGTGTAGACATACCCTCAGAGAGTAGGGATATTCCATTGAGAAAAGCATTCAAACATCTCAGGGTGATTCTCTGCTGTCCCTAACTGAGCAAGGCTTCTAAATGGTACATTATGAAACAGCTATGGAAAACTGTGATTAAAGTTTGTCAGCGGAGACATCTAAATCAAGTTTATCATTCCTCACCAGGCTGGGAGATAATAATGAAAGGACTAGTATATTGACTTGTTACTCAGATGGAGGTTTTGAAGATTATAATGTGATCCTGAGAATTAAGAATAATAAATACAGATCCATTTACAGGCCTACCCGAGACAGTGATGATGAAGAGGATGAAGAGAGGAAAGGAAGAGGCTGCAGTCTTCAGTACCAGCATGCCATGGTTCGAGTTCTCACACAGTTTGTAGCAGAGTCTTCTGATTTTGGAGGCCAGCTGACCTACATGTTGGGATCTGAGTGGCAGTTTGATATTACGGATCTCGTGTCCGATTTCATGAAGGTGGAAGAACCTAAGATTGCTAAATTACAGGATGGACGGGTACTAGTTGGCCGTGAACATGGGATAACTACAGTTCAGGTAGCAGCTTAAAATATATCTATATAGTCAGTGGGGAGAATTTGGGGAGAGTGCAGTTGATTACTGACTGTAATATAAAATGCTGTTATGTCTACAGTAAGCATTAATTTAACACAGAAGTCTGATTAGGTTTCACTTTTGTTTCCAGTCATTTTCATTGCTTGATTCTTAATTACAGTAACACAATCCAATTTGGGACAGTTTTTCTGTATTTGCTTATATAACCTCCCATTATATTCTTGTATACAAAGTCTATATTTTGGACCAAAAATAAAAGGACAGTGACGTTTTAGGCATGAAATAATACTCAGTGAATAGGAAGATTCCCACTGACTTCATAGGCATTGGAATCAACATCCTTTAGGATAGATTTTCAAAGGTATTTAGGAACCTACAGGTGAAGATAAGCATCAACTGGGATATAGAAGAGCACCTGAGCAGGTTAGGTAACTAACTCTCATTGAAAGTCAATAGATGTTAAGTGCCCAATTTACCTGGGGACTTTTGGCAACCCCACTAGCATATTTAAGCATCTAAATCCCTTTGGAAATCTGGACCTCTGGCTCTTTCAAGAGATCAGCTCACCTGAGTTCTTACAAGTATTATATTCTGAGGCCAGTGGATTCTGTATTTCGCTCAATTATAGTATTAGCATTATTCAATAGCCAGCAGTGTAATTATATCAATAGGAGATTCTGCAGAAATTGTAAATGTAGCTATCTATTTTTAAAAAATTAAATCAATTACGTTTAGTTCATTAATCTCAATTCTCTACCCATGCTGCACAGGGATGAGTCTGTAATTTAAAAACAATGGCATATATAGTAATTAAATAGCAAATGGGTGTAATGTTTTGGGAAACATCAATTATAGCTTATAAAGGAATACAGCAAACACAGAACTCAATTGAAAATGTACCAGTCAGTGAGTCGAGTTACTATTTTATACCATTGCACCACTCGCTGTTTAATACAAGAAAACATCTTTGCTCTTTGAAGGTGCTGTCACCTCTCTCTGACTCCATCTTGGCAGAGAAGACAGTAACAGTGCTGGATGACCGCGTCACAATCACAGACTTAGGGGTACAACTTGTTACGGGCTTGTCCCTGTCTTTACAAATAAGCAAAGGAAATAAGAGAACTATTGTCTCCACAGCATCTGCTTGTGATATTCTTCATACTCCAAAACAGGTATGGTCCAAAAGCATATTGAGCATTATAATTAATAGATTTGCTTACTGTGTTTTGCAGGATGCAAGGGAGAAGCTTATGGTAGAGCTATGCAGCATGTATAAAGTATGCCTGTTTGAAAAACAGTACGTCTCATGCAGCTTAAGACAGAGTTCCTCATTGGAGAAGTGTATTTGTCACTAAGGTGGAAATATGTAACTCCCAAGGCACATTAGTGTGCTACAAGATTTACCTGGTATTGCTTTGGTCTTTGAGCATCTCTGGCAGGTGTGAGGGGAAGGACAGGACTGAACTGTCTAGTGACTCTCATGCAGGGCTGGGTTGGCCAGGACTGAGCTGGGTGATGATCAGGATTGCTGGACAGCAGGGCTCTCCCCCATATCTGGCGCTGCAGCCAAGAACCAGGGAGGGCTTTGTGGACAGGGAGACCGCTTCCCTGGGCTGAAAGCCAGCAATGTGGAGAAGATCTGGCCCCATCTGGTCACTCTCTTCCTGGTGGGGCCATCCCTATTCAATCCCTGTAGCCCTGGCAGATTGAAGTAGCATGGCTTTTGCATGATTAGGCCTATATATTCATTTGGATGAGATGGTTCAGATTTGGCCACCCTTCTTGATGCTGACCTTATTCTGTAAGTAGTTCCAGAGTAAAAGTGAAATTATGAAAGGAGTAGGGCATATAACACAATGTGAGAGTGGCAGATTCTACTCCTATGAAAGCAGGTAAGATTTTTACCTATTAACCAAACCAGTTAGGTTTTGATAGTTCCATATGCCATCTGCAGCTATGTTTGTCTCATGCTTATTGCTACTGCGAAAAATATTGAGTTTGAGCAAATGACTCTCCAGATGTAAGCAGGAGCACATTTTTGTAAGAGTCTTTGTGGTGTCCAGAAGAAATTATAATGGAGATTGCCTATTGCCTAGAACTGGAAGGGACCTTGAGTCCAGTCTCCTGCCTTTACAGCAGGACCAAGTACCATCCCTAATGATTTTTTTGCCCCAAAGGGCCTCTGCAAGGATTGAACCCACAACCCTGGGTTTAGTAGGCCAATGCTCAAACCACTGAGCTATCCCTCCCCCCTACTGCAACAGTGTTCCCTTTAAGCTATGTAACAGCACAGCTTCACAGGATATTAATCAGACCCACCCAGTCAGAGGCTCCGCCCAGTCATAGGTTCAGGAGGGGCACATTAATCACCTGTGAAGCTGTGCTGCTGTGCAGCTTAGAGGAAACACTGTACTGCAGTGTTAGAAATAACTGTGATTGAAAATGATAAATATTTCATTCAAATCTGTTTCATAATGCATTGTTTAAGTAAGCCGAGCGTGAACGCCACACCAAATGCATTATATTACACATTAGGTTAAAGCCAAGGAGCATTTTCAAAATGTCCCCTGTTACTCTCTATTTTTCTAAATTTACTAAAAATCATGATATTGGAAATCCAATTAATTTCATCAGTGGGCTTCGATGTTGAAAAATGCCTGCTTGCTTTGTACCCAAAAGGAATTGTGAGCATCATTTTGCAGGCACATTTTATTAGGTGGCATCTGCACATAAGATAAATATCTAAATAGAGCAGAGCACACAAAGCTGTAGATGCAAAACCTGAACTTGAATGGAAGCATTTTTGCAAAAACACAGGAACAAAGCTATGTCATATATTTATATCACTAGGGTCAAATAAGCATAAGCTCTGAAAACCCTAATACGTGGTGTCTTATCATTCTCTCCTTTCCCTCTTTTAGGAAGCCGTAGTCAGCACTTGGATTTTGTTCAGTGATGGCACTGTGACACCTTTAGATATTTATGACTCCAAGGATTTTTCTGTTACGGTAACTTCCCTGGATGAGATGGTGATATCTGCCCAGCAAAACTTTCAATCCAAGTTGCCTCTGGTAGTTGCAGAGGGTGATGGGCAAGGACCCTTGATTAAAATTGAAATGGTGATCAGTGAACCTTGCCAGAAGACAAAGCGAAAGAGCATTCTGGCTGTTGGGAAAGGAAATGTCAAAGTGAAATTTGGTCAGAGAGGTTCTGACCACAAAGGAAGCACCAATGACGTTGATGATGTAGATAGAGAGTTTAACCACCATGTGAACAATGCTATAGAGAAGACGGCAGAAGAAGAGAGGACATTGCAAGAATGGGCCAAACAAGGGACCTTTATTAATCATGAAGACAATGCCAACAAAAGCACAACTTCCAGATCTCCTATTGATCAGGAAAAGGCTCACGAGAATAGCCTCCAAAGTAAACCAACTGCATTCACAAGTTTTCCTGCCCAAGTAGAGTTACCAGGGCAGAATAACCCCAATGATCTTGCGTTGACTTCTAGAGGGTTAACTGATTTGGAGATTGGCATGTATGCGCTGCTGTGTGTTTTCTGCCTAGCAATTTTGGTCTTCTTAATTAACTGCGTGGCATTTGCTTGGAAGTACAGACACAAAAGGTTTGCTGTGAGCGAACAAGGCAACATCCCACATTCTCATGACTGGGTCTGGCTTGGAAACGAGATAGAACTCTTAGATAACCCAGTTGACATTTCGCTCCCATCTGAGGACTGCACTACCATGAGTGACAGAGGGATGCAGTTTGAAGAAAGCAACTTTCTCCTTAATGGGAGCTCTCAGAAGACTCTTCATAATCAGATCCTCAGATCTTGTGAGTATGCTTGTGAGAAGGAAGTTAAAAGTGAACCTATAAATCCATCTGGGCCAAAACGGAAGAGAGTCAAGTTCACTTCATATACCACGATACTGCCAGAGGATGGAGGTCCTTACACCAACTCAATTCTGTTTGACAATGATGATAACATTAAATGGGTCTGTCAAGATATGAATCTTGGTGATTCCAAGGAACTTAGAGATTATATGGAAAGACTGCAAGACAATATGTAAAATACTTTCTAACGTTTGTATTCACCTTTATGCCTTCTGTTTCATGGATAGTGGATCAGTCAGTCCAGTCAGCAATAGGAGGTTACCACGGAGTCTAACATTAGGAGCTCCCAAGATGATAACTGCATGTCGTCGAGTTGGTACAAGAGGCTGGCTGAGTTAATCCTGTTTCACTATAAACCAGGACGTGCCCCTGAAACAACTCCATGTAGATGTTGAAGGTGTCGCACATGATGGCTGTTTTCGCATACTGCCTGGTACTAGCTAAATGCTAATACAATTATGCTCAGACTCAGAGAAGACTACGTTTGTTTGTCAACTCATGATAAACAGTGAATCAGAAAAAATGGGATTTGGGGGTTGATTTTTCTAATCATCATCCTTTGTAAAGCACAGTGGATATTTCTTGCATATAGCCTGAGAGTAGGCTTACTATAAAAGAGATCTGAATCAATCTGTCCAATTTTATTGGCCTATGAGCAATGCAGCCAAGTAGTCTCATTATTTTTTACAGAGGCATACACCTACATGTGGTTAATTTCTTATCTGTATTGTTTATGAAGATTATCTGATTTAGGGGACATTAATATTTTCTTTGGAGACTTTTTTTGGTTGTACCAAAGTGTACCGCAGTATATTTACAGGTAATTCAGGTTTTCTATTCATGTGCATTAGCTCTCTAGAATACCTCTTCGTCGCTGACTATCTTTCTCCTTCCCATGCAAATCTTTAATATTTTAAATGTAGAAACGTATTAGTAATCTTACACTGGAAAGGGGTTGTATCTTCTTACAGGGAACTGTATATACAACAATAAACCCTGGAAAATAAAAATCAAGGTGCAGTCCTGGGTTTATTTTTATCATTTGATTATATGAAAAATAATTTGAAACAAAGTAAATACATGATAAAGAAAAATGCTTCTAATGAAACAACAACAGTTATGGAAATTCTTTGTGGGCAACACATGTTGTTTTTACAACATTGAATGCAAACATGATATTGGAATGTACTGAACAGGAAGCAAAATTCTTGGGAAATAAGCACAATTTTTAAACTGCCATTAGACTGTGCTAAAAATATATTATTGCTGCAGTTTAGCAGTATGTACACATCCATCTGCAATGGCTGGTGCATGTGGGCCCTATCTAAAAGCCACCTCTAATCATATGTCTGGTACAGAGAAAACTTTTACAACAGGCTCCATCACAAGAGAAAATACCAGGCACAGTTATATATAATGATTATCTCCAGTCTTGACAGGAGTACTGGAGATTCAAAGCTTCCATTTCACGAACTTTATATGCATTTTTACATTGAAGTACAATTAAAATGTGTTGAAAATTATAGCCAAGAAACCTTTCTGCATGAACTGTCTAAGAGAAGCAGAAAAGTATATTGGGCCCATCATGAGAAATGACACCTGATCCAAATGCAACTCACATCTCTCCGCTCTCTCAAAATAATAAAAATAATGAACATAATGGCACTTATGGATGGGATGGCTCTGTTAATGGTAGACAAGAGTCTTAAGCCACATTGTTTATACTGAAAGTTTCCCCTCTATGAACAAGCCTTGAAAAAGGGTGAAATGGTAATTTTTGCGGTAATTACATCACAGGTTATGTAGCTGTGAGACCAGGATCACTAAAAGTAGAGTGCACACTTTCCATGATGGTGTTCCACTGTGTGCATATATAAAATAAACTATGAAGAATAAAAAAACAGAGAATACAAAAGGAATTTATAATTTAGCACAAAGGTTAGCTGAGCTGATGAAGAATTTTACATAAGCCAGCCTACTGTCTAGTACAGGATTTGCTTGGTTTTGGAGCCTTGACTTTCGTACTATATAGGAGTCACACACAGCAAGTCCACTTAGACATTGTCATAAAATACAAACTATTAAAAATATAAGTAGTTTACAAAAACTCAATTAAAAACAAAAAGGGAACCAGAATTTAGCCTCCCATACAAATCTTGCAAAGACACAAAATAGTCTGGAACTATAAAAATATATTTGAGTTTAAACTTTAAAAGGTCTAACATGCTACATAAAAGTTCAGAAATAGAAAATGATAATAAATAAGCATGCAGAGGGCCAAAAATAAAACAAAAAGCAGAGACAACAATAAAAGCTGACAATGAGACTGCCCGAAGTAACTCCCTTAGTTGCAGTGGTGTAAATGCAGAAACTATTAAAATCAGTGGAGTAACTCTGGATGTATGCCAGTGTAAAAGCACCACTAGAGTGAAATGAACATTATTTGCAGATCAAGTGAAACAACATCACCGATTAACCAAAAACATCACAGCTGATTAACAAAAGGAAGGAATGACATTAGGAGGCAGATAAAACATCATCAAGAAACTTCAAATGACTAATAAAAATCTATCCCCTCAATTCCCTCCTCCCCCTGCTCCAATAATGACTGGATTAATGTGCCCATAACTATTAAGTTTATGTAGCTGTAGAGATGGGAAACTCCTTTGGCTCCATACAGAATTAGCCAGTGCTTTGTGTGATGTCTACTGTTCTACACAAAGAAAAGGAAACATGTTGCATGGTGGGTGTTTTTTGTCACCTGCCCCATTCCCTGAAAACTACGAATAAAAGGGAAGTTTAATTGAATATGTTGATTCTTTGCAACTTCAGAACTGTGCAATGCCCAACCCTCAGCTGCTGTAAATTATGAAGTGGTTAACTACAACAGCTGAAGATATAGCCCATGGAGAATATTGAAGAAAGAGTTCATTTTCCACCATGTAGAACTATTATATTTCATTTGGACATTTTAGACTAGCTCCATATGGCTTGCCTATACACACTTCCTGATTTAAATACCAGTTTGGGAAAATAGCCCCCTTTCCCCTGTACTCCTCTTAATGTAGGTACCAGCTGTTGTTTCTTAGTTCTCATTGGGAAATGTATACAAGAAAATCTTCCAGCCATATGATTCAGTAGAAAACAGTATATTATATAATGGGAGACAATTTTTATTTCAAGATGGAGTACATCACAAATGGGATACCAAATATTCATAGAAGATGTGTTCTTTTCTGAAATACATCTTGTATATGCTACATTGAAATACACTGTGTAGCAGTGATGGGCAACCTAGGCTAATGAGTGGACCACATAAATGGCCCTCCATCCCAGTGAGCCCCAAGATTGTCCAAATCAAGAAGGTCTCTTGAGATAGGATAGTTTTGCTCATTGTGCTTGGGTATCTAGCATTTGCAGGGTATGTCAATTAAACCATAGCCTCACTTTGGATACAGAGGGAATGCACAGCTCTCACAGTCCGTGTTGTGTGCAATCAGCACGCACTTCACTTCACATGCCCTTGCTTTATGTGTGTGTCACTTTAATAATACTGGTAGGCAAAAAAATTATGTGAATGGAAACCAGCAGAATCTGGCCACCCCATGCATGTGCAATAGTAAAAAAAAATGTCTTGTGGGCCACACATAGTATCCTGAGGGGTAGCATGTAGCCTACGGGCCACAGGTTGCCCACATCTGCTGTATAGTATATAGTGAAATACATATGCTAACTACTAAATCTATAACAATGACTATGTATACTCATCATACCCCAAATATTTATTCAGTATGGTAAGTGTTAGCTGTATAACATAAGAAATGTGTACAAAATAAACTGTAAGTTCAGACAATAGCAGCTGATTTTCATACCTGTGTAATTTGTATAACAATTAAGTTATCCAAGCTTCCGTTTACATCATTAAATGCACCATTTTTAAAAGTTAATTTTCTATTTGTTAGAGTTCAGAAATAAGACTTCACTCTCCAGCAAAGAAACACTTGAATGATATTGTGAAACTTGTGAACTCTAACCCAGAGATAAACAGATTCCTCATGTGATTCTTCAATTTAACTCTACTATTTTAATCACACAAAAAGAAAGGTGATGGGCCATCACTGTGGTGTGATGAGGGGTGAGGTTATAACAACATGCACTCTTTTGGCAAACCAAGAACATGTGGGATTTGACTCCCCGGATGCCCATTACCCACATCTGGGTGGACTTTCAGGTTTTGATAGAGTGTTTCATAAAATCTTATGCATACAATCTTATCCAGTCCACTGCTTTCATACTGGGGGAAAAGGTGTGATAATCTGAAGGGTTAAAATGCAAAATTTCTGTGAATGATGCATATCATCCAAGGTTTCACGGTCTCAGTAAGTACAATCCTCTGGTTGTATGAAATATGCTTGTAGATTTGGGAAATGGGTTTATAGTTACCCTCAGGCCTGTGCATTTCCCAATGCAAATAATGGGCAAGCTTCTTAGTTCTACTATCCTGGTGTGAATCTAGAATAATATATTTATACGGTTTTTGGAGTGCACACAAGGATAGCATCTGAGCATCTCCTGCCTATTAATTTTCCTCATAATACATTAGTAAGGTAGATTGTGGAAACCTGAGACAGATGGCTGATGCGACTTGTCCAAGGTCCATGGCAAATCCAAAAATATTATGGAGCTATTCTATGGGATTGTGTGCTACTCTTAAGTATAAGACCACACTCCCTCCTACCACAAATATAGTAAATGGAATCAGAGTTCCATATGTAGCCCTATACTACTCTCTTTGAGCTCAAGAGGAATAAATTTGGGTCACTAATGCATACACTGGCACCTGCCAGTGCCAACAGATTAACTGAGTTTTCCCTAATAGGATCCATTAATGGTGCTTAATTCATTAAAAAAAAGCCTTTATTTTTAATTTAGTGAAAGTTATCTGGTGGTGAACATCAGTCAGGATCTTCAAAGATGCCAGAGGATGAATTTTAATAGATTTTGGGCATGTGATTCCCATCAGGCACATTGAAAATTGCAGTAGTAGAAAAGGAGACATTTTTAGAAGTGACCTCTTGTCCTGCATGGTATTTGTAAGGAATTACTTTGGGTCTTACATTGAGTAGCCTCTTCCTAAACAAAGCATTTCCAAAAAGGCAACTCGTGTTGTTAGGGTCTTCTCAGTGCACGTGAAGCTATCAGAACATGGACCTTTATACCTAGAAAAAAGTCTTGTGTGTCACTTCAAAATCTATAGTTATATTGTCGATACCTAGCCCTACAATCAAATGAAAATGATCAACTTACATCACTGCTGTGCTACCACAGATAAGCTTTTTGGGATGCTTTAACAACATGATGGAGTTGCTGGTGATAGCAGGGGAAAGACTTGATGACTCAGGAGGTCTCTGTCAGTCCTATGTCCTACATTCAAACGAAAAATATTACATGGATCAGTAAACAACTGGATGGCAAATATGATACAGTTAGAGCCTGGTTTTCAGTTGAAGTTGTATCTGAAATAAACAAGCCATTAGCATTTGACAGCAGAAGGAGCTGCAGGGTGATATTTATCAAAAGTTAAATAGGACAAATTGTGAAATCCTGATGCAGCTGAAATTCCTACTTGTTTCACTAGGAATTGTGACTGAATCAGGACAGAACAAGATTGCATGACTCTATTGCATACACAAAAGGCTAGATCATTACTGACCAGATTTGAGGCCTGGATAACATGATGGGTTACACAAAACCACAAAACCAAACTGTGCTATTTTCAATCAGTGGAACTTTCTAGCCTGCAACAAATAAAGCACAAAATGGTGCTATGAGTTTAGGAAAGTGGTGCCATATTGCATTGTCTAGTAGTTATGAAACGTTGAGGTTTTGATTTGTGAAAATGAAGTGCCATTTTGCAAAACTAAATATTTTTGTAAATTTCTGCATTTACTGAAGTTACTACAGAAAAACCATTACATTTTTAATCAAAAGGTACATTTTTATCCATTGAGTCC